GTGTTTTACTTCATTTTGTATAATTTACTTAAAAGTTTTGCGTCTCTTTATTTTCCTATTTTTTTGAGAGGTACTGAAAAGTTATTGGCGCCGTATTATTTAATATCACCATAATTTAAATGGTAAATGGTTACCCATGAATATCCGACTATTGGTTGTAATGGTTATGATATGTCAATAGGTTTTTAAATGAGTTTGGTAGAGTTCTGGTTTGAACTCTATTAAATGATAATAATTTTGATATTACACTTTTTCGAGGGTATCCATTGCACTGCCATCCCTACTAGAGTGTATGAGCTTGATATGTTTCTTGATACAAGTCAAATAATGCATAGACTTGTAACATAAAATACAAGAATTGGGTATTTGAGTTGCTACTGGACATTTTAAAAAAAATTAGAAGAAAAAATAATGGTTTTTCAACAGTTAAATAATGAGGGGAAAAAATGAGGGAAAAAAAACCCGAAAAAGATGGAGAATAAAGCTTGACAAAAGGCAACAATTTAGAAAAAAAAACAATAGGGGAAAATGAGTTGGTGAAAAGGACTTCAACACACACACACGTATACCTTGAATGGTATGGAGGGGCAAACCATCAGAAAATGTCCAGCGGTAGAAAAAACGGCTAGAAGCCATAAAGTCAAAGTGCCACGTCAGCTTTCACAAACAGAAGTTAAATGACAGGTTAAGTAAATTGAAACCTAATAAAAGATAATTGGTATCTGAAATTTTATGTTGCATTTTTCCTTACAAGAAAATCTATGTCTCAATTTGTTGTTTCTGCATGTGTTTTTATTTATTGCATTTTGACGAACTTTCTTTTGAATATTTTCGCATTTTCAGTAAAATTTCAAAAAATGTAGAAAAATATTATAAAAATTTCCATAAAAGCCAAATTTGGAACAAGAGATTATAAACTAGCGTAATTTTTAAAATTCTACTAATTCCGAAGCATTCCAAAATTTGAATGAATTTTTGCATTCCAATTTTTTTTGAAATGGGAACTGGAAAACATTTTTTACTTCCAAAAAAAATTAAAATTTTTCGAAAAAGCCATTTTCGATACAAGGTTTTCCAATATCAGAAATGGAATGTCCAAGATTTTTTATGGGTTTTCTAATCCATATTTAGTACAAGGGTCCATTTGATATACACCCCTAATATGGAAAATATATAGGGATAGGTCCACCCCTAAAATTCTTCCTTTGAGATATCCTACTGGGGAGACAAAAGTACCATTGTGCCCTTATGTGCAATTTTCGCCCAACTGCATTCATTATTTTCGCCAACTGCATTTAGCATTTTCAAACCTGCATTTATCATTTTTATAGATTTTTTAATAAAAAAATATAACTGTTTTTTTTATTATTATTTTTAAATACCTTTTTTTTATGTTTTTATTTATTTTATTTACTTTTTTTATTTATTTTTTTATTTTTTAAATTTTTTTAAATTTTTTTTTTTGATAAATTTATTGTACTGAAATTTACTACACATAACTATAGTATACCACAGTTAGGGGTGGAAATCGGACGGATCGGATCGGAAACAGCCCTTTCGGAAAATTTCCGATTTTTTTCGGAACTACTTTGTGGATTCCGATTCCGATTCCAATTTTTTCGGAATCATAATATGAATTCCGATTCCGATTTTTTCGGAATTTTTGGAATTTCGGAATTTTTCGGAATATTTATTTTTCGGAAATGTTTGGAAAATTTTAGGAAATTTTCGGAATTTATTTGATTTTTTTCGGAAATTACCCAGAAGTAATTCTTAAAATACAAAATCTGCTCTCAAATCACAAAAAAATAATGAATTAGAATATTACCTATTGTTCGATCGAGAAATAAAATACAAAATAGATGAGGGTGAAGAAAGAACAAAAGTAAGGTGTTCATAAATATTATTTCATCGGCCATTCGACAGAGGAAGCAGAATAGCGCAGCTATGTAAGTAAACAAGGGTTGTTCTCTTCCTTAGTTGTTTGCCGGCGATTTGACGAAGAAGAAAGCACCATAGCTGCTCTCCGCAAGGATGACGGGAAAAGCGGCGCTATTCTGAGAGGAAATTGATAATAGATTCTTCACATGTGGAGCGGCGCTTGGCAAGAGAAGAACGAGAATTAGGAAATAGGGTTTAGACTTTAGAGATAATGGGCTGGAGAAGTATTTAATGGGCCAGCTATTGTTTTGTTATAGGGCTTTAAGTTTAGTAAGATAAAATAAAAAGTAACCTGTATAATATATAATAACTAATAATAATTTTTGGAATTTTTCGGAATTATTCGGAAATATGATCGGAAATTTCGGAATTATTTCGGATCGGAATTCGTAAATTCCAAATATTTAATATACAATTCCGATTCCGATCCAATTTTTTTCGGAAAAATCGGAAATCGGAATTTCGGAAATAGGACAATAAAAAATGGTTCCAAATCGGAAAAATTAGGATCGGAATCGGCGGAAATCGGAAATTTCGTTCCGATTTCCACCCCTAACCACAGTCATGTATAGTTATATGTAGTCATGTACTGTCTTTTTATCCCAAAGTTATGGTCGACCGATTACGTAAACCATTGATTATATAAAAAACTTCATCAACACTAACAAATAAATTCACAACTTAAATCTTGATATTATAAATCAAATAGTACCCAACCAAAAAAATGGAATAAACACAATCAACAAGATCACTATACATCAGAAAAACTACATAGCTTGTATATAACTATATATTACTACATGGAACTATCCATGACTATCGTTATCAATAGGTATCTATACGACTAGAGCTGACTCAAATCTCACTTTTGAACACGAGAATGACTTTGTTTTGAACGACGAACACAAAGTCCACTCTTCAAACACCTACTACACAGTAGTTCAAACACCAAGACCTGCGGAAAAAAAAATAGTTAAACAAACAACGAATTTTACTTCAAATTTGAATCTGCACACACACACACTATCATACTGATATACATACACATCAACGGCATATACTCTCCACCTATCTCATACATGACTGCATGTTACTATATGTTACTATATAGTAAAAATCATAAATCATAAATTTCAAAGGGTAAATCATAAAATTGGACCTAAAAGATTCACCAAGTAACAAAAATTAATTTATTAACGACAGGCAGTGGCGAATCCAGGATTTTTGTCAAGGGTGTTCAAAATTGCGTAAAATAAAAAATTTAAATCACCTTAAAAAAATAGCGGACCAATACCAAAAATTTACGATTTGTAAATTTTAGGAAAATTTTAGAAATATTAAAGTAGACAAGAGGTGAAAAATATTAACTATTTCAATGGTCTGAGAAAAAAAAACGAACAAAAAATTTTAGAAATATTTAAAGAGACAAGAGGTGAAAAATAGTAACTATTTGAGAAAAAAAGAAAAAAATTATTTGTCAGGTGCAAAAATCGAACTTTAGACCTACTAAATGTTTGAAAAAGCTCTTAACCACCTCAACCATTAGCTATCTTAGTTAAATTATGTATAACAGTACAATTTATTTGTAAAATCAAGGGTGTGCAGCTACAAATGGCATATCATTCAAATCATAGGTAGATCCGCCACTAACGACCGGCATATCATTCAAATGGCATGAAAATTTTCCAAATTAGAAATTATATAATAAACTAAAAAATGCACACACACACGCACAAAGAAATTATTAAGTTATGTTGCTGGACCTGCTTAAAGAAATTCTCCAAGCCTAGATCTCCAGAGTCATTTGTCTCTCCATTCCCATTTCACTTTCGCCATTTCTATCACCTTGATCCCTCACAAAGGAACCCTGCAAAAAATACAGAAGAAGAAGGATAAAAATTCAGCCATAATTGTATAGAAGCATATCTAGCATGAGCAACAGGTTGGGAAACTATGCTTCTAACTCAATCTTTTTAAACTTTACATATGGTAGAACCAAAATTTTAGAGAATTTTTTAAGCTAGATACTGCAAATACTAGCAACAATCGAAAAGAGATGGATTTGATACAATAAATCATATTTAATGACGAAACATTTGATTTGCATGCTTAAACCGAAGGCAAGAGCAAAATTGCCAAGGGGGATTCGTAAACGACGCCGTTGAGTTTTGTGCAGTCTAAATCTAAGAATCGCCGGGGATTAATATATGTGACCCACCGTAAAAAAAGGTTCTTCCGTTCAAGAATCCAAATTCAATTGTCAAATAAAGGATATTAATTAATACAAAAGTATACATTTTCCTAGTAAAAACTTATCTTTCGGATTGTTTCTGTTCGGCTTCCGGTGACCGAATCTAGAGGAAACCAGAGGTTTCTCCCTCGCCGGCAACAGAAACTGCAATTGAAGATCTGGAGAAATTATCTGTTGCGGCATGTAATTGTAGGCGAATGCCGACTCGATAAAGACGTCTTCACCTTCATTTGAAGCAACTATGTCTTCATCCGTTTCGATATCAACTGAACCATTCACGATCACAGGTTCATATTCTACAAATATCATCTTCGATCTCTGACACCACAACCTCCGCCGGCGAAGGCACCAGCACCGGATCCTTCGCAGTAGTGCTAGGCAGATAATCGCGGCGGAATATGAAATATCACGGCGGCGCGGCAGAAGAGATAAAACATGAAGAGAAGAGAGAGGGCTAGGGTTTGCAAGGGAGTGGAGAGAAAACGAGAATATGAATGGGGTACCAACGTGGTGATCTAATTTTATGGTGGTACTTGAAGTTGCTCAGGGTTTCTACCAAATTAAAATCAAAATTTGGATTTTCTACTAGTGAAGAAAAATGCAGAGAACTTATCCCTATATATTTTCAAAACTAGAGTATCCCACATTTTCCCTCAGTACAATTACGGTAAACAAAAAAAGTGTTTTTCATAATGCTTACAAGTACAACTAGAGATGCAACTTTTAGATTTCACAATTTGTAATATTCAATTAAAATTATGATTAAAAAATCACCGTAAAATAAATTGTGACTTATTTTGATCACAAGTTTCCCACAAGAATTCCTATTGAAATAATTCAAATCACATTGAGCAGTCCATGAAAATGTTGCCAAAGATTTACAATAAGCCATAAAAATAGTCCAGGGTACCGAACCTAACACAGAACAATACAAACACGGGATTTGTACAGGCCATACTTTACCGTGTTCACACGCAGCAAAGGTGTAAACACTCACTCACATAAAGTAAGAAACTACAAACAGAACCTAGCAAACTATTGCATGCTTAAAATATACCAGGAGGATTTACAGGTCTCTCACGGCTATATAACATCGGGTTTACGGCAGTTGATGGGTCATATATCCATGTCATCAAATATTTCTCCATCTTCCTCCTGACTCGACTCGTCATCCAAAAAGCCATCGTTCACCAAGTTACTGTCCACAATTAGCACGTAATTAAGCAGATTTTTTTATGGCAACTGGTCTTAAGTCTTAAAAAAATGATGGAAGAATAAATTCGGAAATTACCTTAAACAGCTCAAACGGAAGCTCACAACACGCTTAAGCTTTCTATTGTAGAAGAAGAAATGATATGACCATCTATAAGGAGAAAAATTGAAAGGAAATAAGTTAAAAATCGACAAAATCTAAACGAGCTTTTAGTATAGTTACAGTAAGAGCTTATTACATGGCTCCTTTCTCAAGAAACGGATCTGCTTCAGCTTCTGGGTTGTAACTGTAGACTTCACATTCTGCTAGGTTTACAACCTGCAACAACAACACTATCTATCAACTAAAAAATACGAAGCCTTTTAAGCCGATTGTGCTAATCTATAAACATCGCACTTAATTCCGTTTTTTTTTTTTTTTTCTTTTCGTAAGGTTGAGTGAGCACACCTCATCTAAGGCCTTGTACAAGGTCTCAAGTAGGGCACTTCCCTCATTCTCTTCAAGCCACTCCTGTAATCAAGAAATTCACAAATTCGAATATGCATAGGCAGTTAAGGAAAAGCAGACCACACCATTTATCACTTGACAAAGCTCCAAATTTACACAAGATACTAACAGACTAAAACAATGTACATTTCAAATTCAAAAACTACAAACTTTACGCTCCTTACGTAGTAACGGACAGAAAGAATCCAACTAACAATCAAGTAATAATATCCAAGGAGATATTGAAGTGCCATATTCAATAGCGTTAATCATCAGATGATATACATTTACATGCTCCAAATATGGATAAAGTTTTGTCCCTTCGATCCACAATAACATTACACAAAACCAAACCAACTCTATTCACGGCACATTTTAGTTTGGTTTGCTTTACTATTAAGTTTTAAGACAAAATAACTTTAAACCAATCAAACCAAATCAAACATTGAAATCTCTCCATCTCAAGTTATAAAATTTAGAAAAAATTAACAGATAGACATGGTTTCTGATGGTTCAAAGTTAAGTCAGTACCAAACCATCTCCGTCAAAGATAACAGTTCTTTTGAATTAGAGTGAAGGTCAAATCAATAGTAACACTACGCAGAAAAATATTGATGCAATTTAGGGGCATTAAATACATTTATGTTTGTTCGTTATTGAAAAGAGTCTTAATTCCTTGCTGGTTACTGCATAAGCACTACAATGTGAGATTAACGTATATACATGGAACTACCTTTGAGGCTTCGAACATGTAAACATCAAAAATCTGCTTAAAACTGTCCCAGCTTTCTTCAGTGAAAAACTCGTGAGCTCTCACTGCACTGGTAAACCAAAAGTTCACAGATTTTTTATTAGCATAAGAAAAGAAAATAATAAAACGAATTCAAAAAGCTTCAATAAACGCATAGTCATGGTAGAAAGTAAGACACCACACATCAACTGACTATTATAGTGTTGGGAAATGGAGAGACTTGAACTCTCAGCTCCTATAAAAGAGCAACAGTAATCTAAACTGTCTGTCAAACCTTCTGACAACACTCCCAAAAAATCTGTTGAGGAAGGATTATATAGCGGGATGCCACGTCGCAAAGAAAGCTGACAGGTGGCATTACCCATAATCCTCCTTATCAACACAATCGAAACGTAAGATACAGAGTTACCTGAAGTCGTAATCCGGGTACATGTGATGGAGTGTTAGAAGAAGAAAAATCAGTGTCTTCCGGCTGCCAGGGTAAAAAGTAATGAGTAACTTATCGAAACAAAGGGTATTATGAACAGTTAGACGGGCCTTTTAGATTTGACTAAGCAACCTGGATCTACTAAATAAATATTCAACTGGTGAAGACGAGTCCGTGTCTGAAGACTTCCCGAGATGATCAAGAATCTGGATTTGGTGAGAAAATAATAGGAAAATACAAAAATTGTTAAACTGATTGAACCGTACAAATATAAGATCGAGATACAAGCCAACTCAATATTGATGAAAAAGAACTAAACTGATTGAACTCATCGTAGTGAAAAATTACAGTACAGTATTGAAAAAAAAAAAACAGAAAACGTAGTAACCTCGTTTTCCAAGCTGAGTGAGAGCTTCTTATCTGTTCCAGTATGTTTGCCTGGAAAACCACAACCGAAACAAGAAAGTCTGCGTCCTTTAATTTCCACTTACAAACATATTGTTTATTCACATATTGAAATCATACTTACAAGAGTAAGCTTCAAGGCATCCTTCAATGGTTCGTTCTCCAAGATTTAGATTACTCAAGAAATCGTTTATTCTGGGGAAACACCACATAAAAATTAGTCATTATGTTCAAGAAAAAAATCAACGAGGAGAAACATTAAAATCATGAACAAGCCTATTGATGACAGATATTGAAATCCAATAAATAGTTATACCGATCTACAAGATATACCTGTCAAGAGGAGTGTATTCCAAGTACTTCATGGTGAATGTCGATTAAACCACCGAGTTTACACAAAATTACAAAGCCTGCAATAATCAAAGCATAATAAATTTCCTCAATTATTAAATGTAAAAATGGTCAAAACCAATCTTCTGCACGAATACTTGTTTGCCTCGGCAATTTTTCACTTAAATGAAGCAATTACCATATCAAAAAAGCAGCGGAAACAATTAAATTGTAGCATGTTAAAATCTCCTGCTTGTTGAAATAAAGCTTCTAACTTCTAATTCCAACTTAGTCTCCTCTAATTAACCTAAACCCTAAAATCCCCAATCCTTGTTTAATTTTTATTTATGAACAGAAAAATAAACTCACCCAAAAAATTTCGACCAAAAAACAACAGAAAAAATCCTTAATAAACACAAAATTAACCAGACTTCAGTTAATAATTAGAGCAACATATCCCCTGGCTTCAATATCACGAGTTCGAGTAGATCTACATGTAAATCAAATATCCCCAAAACATAATTACAAAAACAACAATCCGGCATCGATAAATATATACAACAAACGTAACCGAAAGGATTTATCCAAACAAAGCCTAATTTTTTTCCCGAAACGGCAGAAATGAAGAGACTTCATAAGTAAATCGAATTGCCCTAAAAAAAATAAATGCTTAAACAACAATCGAGCATTCATAAATAAATACACAACCGATTGTAACCGAAAGGATTTATTTAATTTAAGCGGAATTAAAAGAAGGAAGAAAATCGTACCCTTTTTAGCCGAAACGTCAAACGCCAGAAAATGAAGAAATTTGAAAAGGCTTTCCTGAATGAAATCTTCACGTGGACCACCCAACTATTATTATAAAGAGGTACCCAAATGGAGAATATGCGCGTTTTCTGTGATTGGCTGTGATTTTTTTTGTTTTTGAATTTATCTTAATGTAATTTTAGGTTTTGGATCAGGATTGGTTTTCGACCTTAGGATTCAAATTTGTTTTCTCTTTTTCTCCTTTTTTTTTTTTTTTTTTTTTGGCAAATTCCACTTTTGCCCCTGATAATTTGGCTCGGTATCACTTTACTCCCTTGTACTCGCGATTGCATCAATTTACCCCTGCACTTAAACAAATGTTTTAATGTGGCCCTCGTTGTTAGTTGTTAGACACTTGACTTTAATACCATTTGTTCTAATCTCTGAAGTTACAAAAACGTCACCCCTTCAGTTTAAATAATTATTAAAAAAAACAAAACAAAATAATAAAATAAAATAAATTCAAGACAACGTGAAAGTATAGTCTACGACGGTAACCACAATTTTTTTTTATATAATTATTTAAACTGGAGGAGTGGTTTTTTTTTTTTGTAATTTTCGGACCTTAGACCAAACGGTGTTAAAGTCAAATGTCTGAAAACTGACATCGAGAGCCACATTTAGACAAATTTTCAAGTGCAAAGGGACAAATCGATACAATTGAGAATAGAATTGGATAAAGCGATATCAAGCCAAAGTTTACCCCCTCTTTTTTTTTTTTTTTTTTTTTTTTTTTCTTTTCCGTTTCTATTTTCTTTTTCTAAAAATAGAATTCAAATTGGCCGGAAAAGCGCTGCTTGTCAAGGACTCAAGTTCGATATTTCAGTATTTCTTTTGGCCTTTTGGTATTTTATTTTCTCAACAAACAATATGGCCTAAAAGTTAAAACATTAATTTTCTTTTACAACTAAAAAACATATTTCTAGGTTCCTCAACAAATAAAATAAAAAATAAACATATGCAATTAGATTTCATCATTCTTTCAAAATAATTAGGCAATATTTGATAACGTTTTCAGTTTACTCCCACAGTTTTCCTGTAAATGAATTCATATTTGTTATATTTTTCAAAAACAATATCACTTTATTTTTGAAAAAATTTCATCTCACATATATTTTTTTCTAACGATCTGCAGTTATTTCAAAAGGAGAAAGTTGCTAGAAATCCTTCATATGTAACTTTATTAACACGCATGATGCACTATTAATATCAGAAATATCTCTTCCAATTTTCAAAAAATTGATAGTATAGGCCAAATTAACGGCCCCTTGAGATATGTTCAAATTACGAAAAATGTATTATCTTACACATCCACATTTACGGTGTCAAAATTTACCTACTAAAGGAGGGTTTCTTTCATTAGACAATACATGGTTAAGGGGATAGTTGTAATCATCCAAACATGAAGGAATTTTTCATGCCAGTAATATATAATAGCTAATCCACAATTCCAAATGAATCCCTACAGACACACTGTCTATAGTTAAAACAGGTCATCTGCAAGATTTCAGATTTCACCATGTAAAATAAGTAATACATCAAATTACAAGGGCTGAAGGTAAAAAGAAAATCTAAATTAAATAATACAAAAATCTTTCAATTTCACAATTCAAATGCAAAATCTGTACACTTCCAGTTAGGAAGCAAACCCTGAGAAAGAAAAAAAAGAAAAAAAAAAAAGGTATAAAAAAACAGTCTTGATGGAAGAAGGCCTTCATTCATCTGGTTCTGATAGAAGAAGGAAGGCCTGAGAAAGTGAGAAGCCACATGTGTATAAACTTTTTTATTCACTGTTGTTGTATAGACCGACCGAGAGCTTAAATATCAGTTCCAGCTTCTCCTCGGCCTGAAAACATTTGTGTAGATTAATCAAAATGACAACTCCCTTTAATTATCACATCTCCATCTTCTAATTTTTCCGGTTTTTTTTTTTCTATAGATTTATCATCTCTTAATACCTAATGAGAAGAAGCTATTACTCTATATAAATAATAATAGTATTAGTCATATATTCTTAAAAGAGTGTAGATGGTGTTTATACTTCCGGCTCTTCTGATGCTGCCGCCAGTAGCAAGCCAGCGCTCCGAATGCACAGCTGGCAACAGCTATTGCCAGCGCAGCTCCAACGGGGACCACAAGTGCGTTCACCGACGCTGAAGATGCCGCATCATCACTTAGGTTTACGAGCCTCTCCACTGTAAGTTCCTTATCCTTGTTTAGGTTTACGAGCGCCTTCCCGTAATAGTTGATCAGGAACTTGTGGACCTCATCAAGATCCCATTCGATCGGACGGCTCTCGTCGACTCTCACAGTTCCATAGCAAGAAGGGCAGAGCTGTTGTGGGGGCCACGTGATTTTGGGGAACTGAGGGTCGTCGGTTTCGAGGGATGCCTCTACCTTCATTAGCCTCTCGTTGACTTTGTTGTGTGCTTGCCATAGCCAGAGGACAAAGTCACGGGATTTGTTGAAAGGGGTTGAAACGCTGCGAGTTTTGATACTTGTATACTTAGATGGATGTCGTATTTTTTTAATGGATATACTATTAGTGTAAGGTGAGGATGGTGGTGGAACTTACCTTGAGCACATGGTGTAAAAATGCTGGCGGCACTCCTCGCATATGAAGAAATTATGAATGAAATCGCAAATTGTTGTGAATGCCAGCTGGCTTTCTCCGTCGTCAACTCTTACAGAGAGTGAGTGCAATAAAACCCACAGACCACAACTGCAAAAGAGACCGAAGCGTCAGTTATGACCAAAGTCTCAGTGTGCGATGGGTTCAATGATGTAAAGGTGGTTTTTACAGGTTTAATTTACACACATTCACAAGATGTTCACCCAGGACTTTTTCAACAATGTTACAATATTTGAGGAATACAAAATAAATGAATCTTACCTAAAACCTCTTGTCTCATTCTTGCTTCCCCGACAAAACATCTGCAAAAGAAAATTCATTGCCAGATTGGCAAAATCACTAGCTGATAATATTATTAAAATATGGACGCAAGGATTCACCTAAAAGAGTTGATCAAATTGACATTGTGTGGGGGACCAGGATAATAAGCATCAAATGGTGCAAGGATTAAGGCTGGCCAGTGAGAAGTTTGCAAGCGGGATCTCTGAGTATTAAGTTGCACAGTCGTTCAAGTTTTTATGCTTTTTCTTTCAATAACTATAAAGGGATAAAATCCTAGTGCATTAGGTCAACCTGCATAAACGTTTCACTAGGTCGTATGTTGTGGACTAGTTGAGCCAGTATAGTAAGCTCGGAAAAACAAAATTCATGCAGTTTCTTGAGGGAGCTCAGTCAATTTGACTTCTTGTTTAGTATTGAAAATGCTGCACTTACACTGCTCAATATTGGAACCTAACTTGATGAGTTCAGCTCCACCGCACTGACCCATGCAGGAAATCATTTTAATAAACTTTCTGATTATCTGATAGTTCCATAAATTGACTTCTGACTTCTAAGTAACCAAAGTTATTTTCTCAAATTAAGATATAATTAAACTAGAGGCACTTCACGTGAGAATGCTACCTAGCAGCAATAGCGACACATATTAAAAGTTTTAAGTAAGGTTCGGAAATGTTTATGAGTGAAATAGTCTCTTCAAGGGCAGAATGATACCAGAGTACATTAGCCATACAAATTTAACTTTGATCAAAAGAGTCAACAAAGTTTATAGATAACCGTAAAGTCTGTGCAATTTTAAGTGATTATGCATTTTAAACTAGGATTTAAATGTTCTCTTATGTATTCCACTGAAAATATCATAGGGCCAAAACTGAATTTTCTGATCAATGTGTATGAACTATTGAATTTTAAGAGATGTCGATTACAGAAGCATAAGGTCCCATACAGTGAGCATAAATGCAAATTGTAATGAATGCAAAATTAAATTATCTTTAAATTAGAAAGGCCTTGCATTGACATAATGAGCTAACATGTGAATACATTAGTCAAGTGATGATATGTACACAAACTTGACCCACACAGAGCAACAGAAATATCGTAAAAGTAAAAATTAAATCAGATAATGTGGAAGTTGGAAAGAAAGAGGTTGAATAACAGATATACATACCCAGTATCCACGAGGAACATCTTTTCCACAAATTTGATAATTCCTGATTTCTCCTCTCTCGCCACTGTCAATCTCCTTGTTGGCTAAAAGATTGTCAAAATCGACTAGTAGTTCTGCAGTTCCCTTCCGGCATCTAAAAACCAGTATCCAGAACCAGTCAGGAACATAGAAATACATTAGGATCTAATATAGAGAGAAACAATAACTAGATGGTCACCTTCTAGATGGATGATGGACCACCAAAAGTTGAAAGAATTTTACAAGTGATGCTTTAGTCTCTGATTTAATCATCTATACATGATTTTTTCTTGAGTTAAATAAAAGTCATAAAAGGACAAACCTAGCAGAATATGCATTAAACCACATATGTTATTCACCTTGTGGTCTAAGATGATGCCAAAAGCAGTGGATGTGGCCTCCTCAATGTCGTAAACAGCACGTGCAATCTTTCTCCAGAAACACATCACAATAAGTCAGAAAACAACGCAGATGTTATATTTTATCAATTTATTTAAGCATTTAGATCATGTCAAAAGGACCTGTCCAATATCTGAAGCATTTTTCTGAAGATCATTCTCATATTTCCGGTCTTCCAAGCGATATGAGCTAAAAATAAGAAACAATATATTCAAAGAGATGAAATTAAACCCACTGTTAGTTTCCAATGTGCACCCTACGTTATTAAACTTAGAAAAGCATACGTGAATCTCAATTAAAAAAAATAGACAGTAGGATTGGGAGAATATTATACAATGCAAATAGATTCATAACTTCCAATATGGGTATTTCACTTGCTTCTAGTCAATACAAAGAAAAGTCTTGTACCTGTTCATTTGCTTATTAATCCAATTTAGTAAGAGATCTGCTGTTCGTGCATCCTCGATAGAACGTATTTCACTCTTTTCTTGCTTTGGGTCCCAACTCCCAGACACAAACTTAGAAGGTGGGCCCCACAGAAGAGTAGGGTAGTGCCCGACAGAGAACTTATCACAAAGATTAGTATTTATCTGTGCTGCCATGCAAGTGAATCGAAGAAACAATCAAGATGCTGTAATTTGATAAAGGTAGTTCGAACGACAGAATGTACAACAATTAAACAGTAACAAAAGAAATATATATATATATATATATATATATATATATATATATATATATGAGCATGTGTGTATTTGCTTGTACATGAATTTAAATACAATTCAATGATTCATGCTCATACTTCAAGAGAATATAGCTGAATATATTGCGGTTTTCAGGACCATATGAACAAAGAACAGTGATGTGAACTTAAAATGCATAAAACTAAAAAAAATGTTAAAAGAATGTGTAAGAAAATCAATAATTGGAAAAATTACATGTCTTCATGAATATATAAAATATAAGTGTTGTATTATTCCTTTTTTTTTTTTGGCTTTTATTTAGAAATGCCATCACTAGAACTTGCTTCAATAAAGGGAAAAGGAAGTGGTAAAAAGAAACGCCAATCTTATGGGGCTACCTAAGAAGAAATCCTAAGCACTGTCACAAACAATATTATAACTCTTCTACTTTAGATACAAATTAATTAAAACTCTCGGTGATTTGCGCTAATAGCAGTAAGACTATAAAGTTCACATGGAGAGAATCTGATATGCAAATATAATAACATAGAAAAGACAGTCATTTATCCCTAAACTGTTTCATAAACGGCTGCATTCCTCTTTTTTTATAAGCATAACATTAGTACCTTCAAGGCACAATCTACTCTGGTCAACAATATCATCCCAGGATGGACAGCGTCTGCTCCATTGAAAATCTTTGCAATCTTCTCATATTGTGGCTGCCCAAATTGAAAATTTTGTAATAAGAACCACCGCCATGTGAAATAACATTTTTTTTTAATCATACCTTGTAATTTCTGCAAGCAGGACACCTGAAAAGGGAATGAGAGTAAGCACTCTATTAAAGGCAAATTACAAACTTAACTCACATGATCGCTTCAAGAATTTTTTTTGAATAAACGAGCCAAATATACAAACACAAATATACATGCCAAACAGTAAATGCATGAATCTTAAGAAACAAGCATTGACACTGAGAAAAGTCAAATCATGGTGCTCTTTTTTTCTTCACAGAGACTTTCACAGTGGTAAACTTTACAACAACTACGTATTATACCCAGTTAGATAAAGCAACTCAAGAGGCACAAACCAACACACACAAGAAAAAGTAAAATCGTGCTTTTTATTTTGTCGCAGTTGGAATTCCACACCGTACAAACTCAACAGCTATCACATGTTATGCTCAGTCAAACAAAGCAGCATCTACACTTACTTATTGACCTAAAAATGTTAACTAGACCAATGTGCAAACAACTAATAACATGAACAAACAGCTTGACACCATAGAGATGATATACTTCCATGTTCAGAATACCCTTATTTGTTCTTTATTTTGTCCGTCAGCATCATGGGTTTACTGGATGTGGCTGATTATATAATGGCTGTCAATAACATTGGAGAAAAATTGACTTGCGAGTTATGATGGAATAGAGAATTTAAGTACGACGTTTCTAGAGTAAACAATGAAGTTATATGGGGGAAAAATTAAGTAATAAAGAATACTATCCTTTCTCAATTATAGAACTCGGGAGGCAATCGGTCGTTCAAATTAAACCAGGGTGGATTATAAAATGGATGCAGATCAAGGATGGAGAGGATCAGATATGCTGGTACAAACCATCGAAACCTAGATTATTTTCATCCAGCTTTATGTTGTTGTTGCTTATTAAAGGCTACATCATTCAAAAAGAGGCATCAAATTATAAACAGTCAAAACAAAAAAAGCCTACATTTTTGCTCAAAAATATGTCTCTTACGGTTATCGTGCAGCTATATGTTATATATGCTTGCATTCAAGTAGAAAGTAATTGGACAAGCATAAAAAATCATGCCATAACAATATCATCTCTGTAGCTTGTGAATAAATCTCTCTTTTTCTTTCCATCAATTAGCCTCTGCAAAAAGTGCATAGCTGTTTGAACTTTTACGTCTCTATACTTCCATATCTGATTATGCCACTTTAGGAATTTCAAGGAGGTTTAATATGTTATTCAGAGGAATAAACTAGAAAGATAAAAGCTCTCCAAGGATTATTAGACAGGAACCACCTGGCAACACTTTAAAAGCAATATGAAACTCCTTTGGCCATACAAATATGAACTAGTCATAATTTCCACAACCGCTCAATTACATTTCAGCATTAGAAAAATCATAACAAATGAGCAAACATCATCACCCTAGATAATTTTGCACCCGAAGATACAATTAGGAAAGAAAAAGGAAGACAAACATAGGACTTGTCAAATTTATCTTCCTTGTAGCCTGGTTTCAACACTGGTTACATATTTATGAAGTGTGCATAAAGTGACATCCAGGATGAACACTAAGTACAATTTCCCAACCAACTAAATCATTAAAAAAAACCTTAAAAAAAATATGTAAATACACAGTAACATCACAAAAATCAATACTTTCTTTCTAGATAGCAAAATCACAGTCCCCTAACGCAAAAGCCATGAACTTCAGCACATTTAATCATCCACATAAAAGATTCATTAAAATGAAGCAACAACATTCGGATGAAAAAAAAAACCCCAAGTTTTCAACATCAAGAGAAAAAATTGAAAGAAACTGACCAGTGGGCAAAGAATTCAACAACGGCATGAGCAGCGGGGGTTTCCTTAAGCACAGAATCAAAATTCGTGGCGTTCAATTCAACAGCGTAATCTTCCTTTTCCTCTTTATTTTTGTCGATTGATCGCAGAATTGAACGAGATCCAACCCTAATCGGAGCTGAAACTGAAATCGCAGGCGAAGACGACGCAACTTCGTTGCTATAGAAAAACAGCGAAACGATTAACCATGTGATGAAGGTTACAGAAGACATGGAAGTAATGCTGATTTAAATAGATACAAAAATCTGTAAGTATATATGTTGCAGAGGTTTTGTGAGGGGGAGGGAGTAACGGCGCCGTTTTATCAATTGGTGATCGCCGTTTTGGGCGATGGTGAAGGGAAACGTGCCAATTGAGTTGAAATTTGGGGACTTTGAAATATTTCGAAGGGGACGGTCTTCTGACTCTACTTAATAAAGGAGTAGTACACTTTTGAGCTTTCTGCTTCAGTTTGTTGTACCTTGGCCTGCTATGACTGTACTTTCACAAAAATGAAAGCAATTGTTGCAAAATATATAACTTGCAGTTAAACCTCTATAAATTAATACACTTGGAATAATCAAAATTTCATTAATTTAGCAAAATATTAATTTATCGATAAATTAATAATTATTAATTTATACATTAATTAATAAATTATTAATTTATGAAATTACTTTTATTATTATTTTCAATAAATACATTTTTTTTATTTACGTGTATAATATTCATTGTACCATTAGTTCAATGTATTATAGAGCCCGTTTCACGAACGGAAGCTCTTAAATCAGCAATGGTATAGAACGATTTTATGTTGAGTTATGAGAAAACAATACTGAAAGTTCTAACTATGTTAAAAAAAGTGACGGACAAGATTGATGGTAATGTGAACTTCACCAAGAAACAAGCAACAATTTAATTCTATTGTATTAAGCTTTCATAGATCTATAAAATATGTAACCATGTAATTTAAGAATTATTTTTCTGCATTATTAATTTATATATTATATGGGGCTTCTTAAAATTTTCGAATGTGTATTATCTTATAAATTTAGCGAATTATTAATTTAGCACGTTGTCCCCGAGTCGAGACCGGGAAAATTTATTATTTAAGTGAAGTTATTAATTTATCAGGTATTAATTTATCGAGATTCTACTATAAAATGTTAGGACCTTTTACCTTTTGGATAATTTGCTAGAACAATCTTCTTAGATGTGAGTTTTATTAGCAAAAAAATCAGCAGTTATTTGTTGTTCCGTGTTCATTTTACAAGAATACCCCCATATTTTTGTTAGCTAAAAGTCCCTCCAAAAAAGGTGCTCAAATTTTCAATAGTTCAGTTTCCTTTTTCAAAGTATTTATATGTTTATTAGCTAAAGTTGTGCAAATCACTCTTACCATTGCTGTTAGTTTCATCAGCAATTCCGTTATAGAGACTTCACATCTAGCGTATGATCCATAGGGGAAAATGGCATTGGGACTTTTAGCAAAAATACATAATTTATTTGTTTTTATAGCTATAAAGAATATTTTTTAGGAATTTTCAGCTAACTTCCAAAAAAAAAATGGAATTTACAAGTTCATTCCCATTTCAGCAAGCCTCCGAGTTTTGGAAATCTCATGACATTTACAATTTTAAAATATTTTAAGGACATTTTGAAATCTTCATAATTTTCGAACTTATTTTTGGAAAAAAAAATTAATTTTTTTTTTTGTTTAACAAGATTTATGGCATATTTATTGTCAAAAGTTTAGTGAGATTTACCCCACATTTATAGATGACATAAATCATAATTACATCTAACAAATTAGTTTAAGGGAAGAGGAAACTTTGAAACCACTGCAAAGAAGAAAAGAAAAAGTAGAGATAGTAATAATTGATGAGAATGACTAAAAAGAATGGATAATTTGATAAAACTCCCAATTACAGGAGGTTATTATATCAGGCCCAAATTTATTTTCACATTTTTAAAATAAATTTAAAAGAGCTTTTATTAATTAAAAATTCTTAATTATTATTATTATGCTCCTAACTAATTAATACAGGTGTTTTTAATATCTCTTATTAGAGAAGATACATAAATATTTTAATGAATATTTTTTCGATTAATTCCATCATTAAAGCTTATTGACTGAACATTTCCGTTTATGTGGAATCGAAATTGTAACTCACATAAATAATAATATGTTTGTGTCATTGGATAAGTTGCGGCGATGCAGATTCACATGGTGGTTTTCGGCTCACATGAAAATTTAAGATGAGTTATATGTGAGGTTTTTTGTATTGATTTACGTTGGACAGTAATTTGTATGTGTATATACACGTTTTGTTGATATATATATAAGATTTGTATGTGTCTGGTGCACTATACACGTTGTGTTGATGCTTAAACAAATGTAAGAGTGGTTTTTGCAAGCAGAGTGGTTTTTGTACACAGGGTAGTTTTCGTGCACATAGTGGTTTTCACGCGCATAGCGGTTTCTGCCCTTCCCTTATTAAATCCATGAATTTTGACCTTCCCATTTTATTGAATCCATTATTGTGCAAAGTGAATTTTGCCATTTCCACTTTAATACACGTCATATTTAACGAAAGAGCTTGTGTGATGTTGAATCAATGTATGTATGTTGTTTGCCCTAAAGAGAAGAAGTTTTTGTCCGAAAATAATAGCAGATTTTCTTAAAGTAAAAGTGAAGCCATTGATGCAGTAGTTGGAGATCAAGAGAAAAAAGATGAAATGGATTTTCGAGATACCGGGTAAGTTGGGGGCGAGTTTTGTGGAGAGATGGAGAAATATTGGGAGGATTTTGTAGAGAAATATTATGAGGATTTTTAGGTAATGCGATTTTTTGAAGGAATTCTGCATTTAATTCAACATATTTTTTATTTAAATAATTATACTAAATAGTAGGGGCATATTAGGTTTTTTAGGCCCAATGAATTTATATTAAATATCTATTACAAATTAAAGATTTATTAAGAAGTACAATCTCAATGAGGGTGTTTAACAAATAACCCCTAAAAAGAATATATAACTGATGAGACAAAACGGGCATTTTTTTTTAATCAACTTCCCCATGATATTTTGGTATTAATATATACTAACAATTCTTTCTGTCCGATGCACGGCTAACATTGAAAAAAGAATAGATATATGATAATTAAATTGTGTTAAAAAAATAAATTATACTATATTAAAATAATTAACTGTGAAATTTAAATTACCAAAATAACGCTAATATTCCTATAAATGTGATCATACAAATCCCAACAGAATACATATATTAATCAAGAAATTTAATAAAAAACTATATGCAAGTGGATTAGGATTTTGCTAGCTGATTAACAAATCTAAAAAATGAAAGTCATTAGAGAAAAAAAAGTTGGAAAATAAGAGATATGTTATGAATGCATTCAATATGCATTTAGTGTGGATGTAAAAAACGTAATAGTTTAAGTGGGCTTCATTAATACTTCATGTATTCAATATGCTACTTGAGAACTATAAATAGATGCCATTGTAATGGATTTAAAACACACTTGAATATACAAGAAAGAATAAGAAGAAAAGGTTTTATTATCCTTACATTTGATCTCCCATATTCTTGTTTTACTTGAGTTTCTTTAGTAAATTTATAATACGTTATCAGCGCGAGCTTGCTCCCGTTTTTCATTGAAGTTGGTAAGGATTTTGTGATTCTTTTAATATCCTTAAAAAAAAATTATTCATGTTTTCGATAAGTGGCTTGTAAAACATGTTTTCAATATTTTGATATACATATATGATTAAGAATTAGATTAAGATTATAGATAAAAACCATTAGTACAAATCAAATTCTAGAATTTTATTAACTATGTGATACTTTATTTTTTATTAGTTTATGTATTATATGTGTTTAGTTAACAACATATACAATTATTATCTCTTTTATGCATTAACAATGATATCAAATGGTTTGTCATTTATAAGAGATATTAATTTAATTACTTTATAATCATTATTGTCAATTAAAATGCTATATTTTAAATTATTATTTATTTGCTTTATTGCTATGCAAATTATCATAAGAACCTGAAGTTCATTAAAGAAAATATAGGCCCGAAGTCCATATCGAATATCAAAGCCTGAAAGCTTGGATATACTGAACAAATTAGACTCAAACCTGAAGTTTTGAGTATACATATAATCTAAAGCACTATTAATTTTATGACACAGTGCTATGGCAAACATCACCAAGCTTGAGTTCGCAGCTCTAGATATTTCCGGAAGAAATTATCTAACTTGGATCCTTGATGCTGAGATCCATTTGAATGCCCTGAACCTCGGAAATGCCATTAAGGATGGTAATGAGGAAAGTGAACAAGATAAGGCGAAATCAATGATTTTTATTCGCCATCATCCCCATGAGGGCTTAAAATCCGAGTATCTTGGGGTAAAGGACCCTGCTACTCTATGGAATAATTTAAAGGAAATATATGATCACCAGAAGAGTGTGATACTTCCTAAAGCTCTATATGAATGGATGCACTTGCGTTTGCAAGATTTTAAATCGGTAAATGAGTATAATTCCGCCATGTTTAAAATTGTTTCTCGATTGAGATTATGCGGAGACAATGTCACAGAACTGGACATGTTAGAAAAGACATTTACCACTTTTCATGCCTCTAATATGCTCCTGCAGCAGCAATATCGTGAAAGGGGTTTTACAAAATACTCTCAATTGATTTCTTGCCTCCTCGTTGCTGAACAGAACAACGAGCTCTTGATGAAAAATCATAACTCCCACCCAACAGGATCACAAGCATTTCCAGAAGTAAATGCAAATGTTTCATTCCCTGAAGTGAATGCAAACAACTATAATCGTGGTCGGGGTCGTGGCCGCGGGCGTGGGTATCGCCGTGGTCATGGTCGACATCAAGATGGTCCTAGAGTTACACCATACCACCCGAAGTGGAATAAAAATGGTGAAAAACAAGACAAGGGCAAGACTGTAAAATTTGGCCATCATAATAATCAAAATGAGAGTTGCCATAGGTGTGGAGTGAAAGGACACTGGTCACGTGCCTGTCGTACTCCACCTTGTTGATTTATATCAAGCATCCATCAAGGGAAAAGGAAAAGGGAAAGAAATCAATTTTACTGATTTTAGCAACACCGAGAATGACCATATTGATCCAATGGACCTTACCCATTTGGATGTTGTTGATTTCTTTCCCGAGCGAAGTGGAGAAATTGATGGGATCAAATTTCATGGTGATGATGACAATGATGGCAACAAATAGATCAATCAGGACTGATCAAGTATTACATTTATATTGCATTTGAGTTAAATAATGTTTATCTTTCCATTCCCTAAATGTGTTCGAAATAATTTCATGAGT